CATGATAACGAAGTATTTCTCCGTTTAAATCTGCTTTAGTAACATATCCTTCAATTGCACCTATTTTTTTAACTAAATGACGAAGATTACATGCAAATGCACGTAATGCTCGTCTATAATCTAATAAATAAATTTTAATTTTTTTCTTATTAGAATTGATATATATTTGAAGAGTTTCTTACTAGGTGAAAATCGTATAATCCATGATGGATGAATTAATCGAGTTGTTTTCATATCATAGAATGTTGATTTAGACATAGCACTAAATAAAAAAGAATAATTAAAATTTTACAAAAATTCTTTTTTTTTAAATCGATAAACAATTTCAATGATGTCTAATGATTTTATGCTTTTTTTTCAATCAATCAATTCATAAATCAAATCCATACTTCTTTTGTATAAACATTAATAAACGAAAATGTCATGTTTGCTTCTCAAATTTTATGAGCTCAATCTCATCAATCAAACATGACTTGTATAAATTTTTTCATAGTATAGAGTTAAATAAAAGATCTAGGAGATAGTGTAGTCTTTTATATTATTCTTTACGTAAACAAGTTTCGAAAATAAAAAAACATGTATGCTACATAAAATTAATTTATTTTCTCTTACCAAATACGACGCATTTTTTCTTCATAAGGTAAAAAATCACTATCTAAATTAATATTATATAAAGACATACAAGCTGGATTATTTAATTGAGTATTTTTTAGTAAATTTTTATCATTATTTCTTATTGATATTCGTACAACGTAATCAAGTACAATTGTATTTAAAACAAATTCACATAAACTATTTGCATATTCAGCATATTCAGTAAGAATTTTTAAATCAAGATAACCATATGGATTATATCGATTCGAATTACATAAAGCCATTTTCTAATTAGGTGTTGAAAGAAGAAAAAAAAAAAAAAAGAAGTATCGATGCCGATTATCTTAGAAAAATAAAAAAAATAAAAAGTATTCGAAGATTGATAAATGTTGACACTATGGTAACATTTTCTAATAAATATTTCATTTCGTTTTATTTATTCAATATTTAAAATATTATGAATACAAACATTACTGATTCTATTATTATATTATTGTAATGATAGAATAAGAAAATATCTAATTTAAACTATTCATTACCTAAATATAATTAACAAAAATTATTTATAACTCTCATTTAGTTTTATAGGTACATCTATTATATTTCAATCTTTGTTTATATTTCGGGAAAAACGATTAATATCTGAATCTAATTTTATCATATTATTTACAATAAAGGTACATCGCACATTTCTTCCAGCTGTCTAACCTTTTACTATCATTATATTAGCATGTTACAGAGAACGAAAAAGTTTAACGTACTCGTTGACCGAAACGTATATATATATATATATCTATTCTTAGTTTAAGCAACGATGCATTTTCATTAATGGAATTTATTTATAAATAACAACATAACATTTCTTAACAAAATGAGAACTTACTTAAAATTGTTATCATAGGTCTTAATGTAAAACAGGCTAGTTAGACTTACCTACCTGTCTCACTTTTTGACATCGCGTGTGTGAAAATGTTGACATATTTTTCGGAAAAATGTCTGCCTAATTGAAGAAGGTAGTGTTTTTCAATCATTTTCTGCTAGATGACGTGTCTCTGACTGTCTGCCAAATTTTTAGTATCTTCCATTTTTCAGAAATTATCGACAATTCTGATTATTATTCTAGAATGAGCATTGCAACAGTTGTCTACGACGTGATATGGCATCTTATTTACATATTCTTCAATCCTCACTCTAGAGGAAGGGGCTTACCCATCTTCTCTCCACCAATTAAACATATGAAATCTAGTCTGTTATTCAAATTAATCTTAATAATAGAAAAAAAAATGTTATTTAGTGAAAAATAAAACCTTTAATGTATAATTTATTGTTCTATTCAATTCAAAACTATCTGTTTTAAAATAAATATTTACCATTATGTTTATTGCTGTGTTTGTAACGAAAAAGGTATGTGCTTGATAAGCGTATGTCGATTTACTATTACTCAAGTCAAACAATCCCATTAGAAGATTTTCATATGACAACCTTATATGATCTTGTACAATTTTATAAGATAATCTTAAAGTCACCATCTCTGATCTAATTGCACTGTACGATTCATACATAGTTCTCTAGGTTTTTTCGTAATGTGGCATACTTGATTTTCTGTTTTTACCATCTTTTTCCTTGAACATTATTTTTCACTTTTACTCTCATAGGAATATTTATTTATAAATGTTTATTTTTATGGAATTCGTTTATTAAAATGAAATAAAACAAACAACTTAAGCAAATCGATCCAATAATCTCTGGAGTGAGTTTTTGACAAATCAGTACCACTACATAGAAAATCTATTGTCAATTGGAAAAAATTTACCAGCTAAATGAAGACGTATTTATTCGATTAACTAATTTAATGCGCAAAACTCTTGTTATCAAAACTATTTGTATAAGTGAAATCTAAAATAATTATCGCATAAGATCGTATAAAATCTTATAAGTCTTCGATTATCAGGTTTTTCAAGAAAACTATAATAATAATCATGTAAGATTCGTAGTTAGGAAACTGCGAATTCAGATTTACAGTTTCCTATAGGTAAGTATCGAACAGCATTAAAAATTTTTTGTGCTAAACTTACATAAAACTGATTGATGCTTGTTTGAACATTGGAAACTATTATTTTTTTTTTTTTTTTTTACCTTTTTTATTTTGACAACTACAAATATACTTAGAGAAGGAATTAATACCAGAAAATGATTTATAAGTAAATATTTGCATTGATTGTATAGAATATTATCTTGCTTGATCTCGTATCCATAAGTAATAAGCAGAAACTTTTATATTTATTAAGTATCCAGTAATCCAAAAATTGAAAACAAGAAATAATTATACGTTGAGTTTTTTCTAAGAGCAGTCACTAAATAACAACATCCGATAGTCAGTAACATCGTATACGATCTTTTTAAGACTTTTTTTCACCTGGTTGTGTTACAATCAAATACAATGATGTACTACAGTCGTATACATAATGCGTGTTTGGACGCATAGTGTCGTATAAGACGACCGTTTATGATCGTGCTTTTTCAATGTTAGATTCTATTTCTATTAAACTTTAACCAAAATTTTCTACTGAACTTTATAAATAATCATTTTTCCCGTCCGTAATTATCAATTTTATTTAACAAAGCAAATTATTTACAAAAGCATTGGAATAAATATCTGTTGTTTTTTAAAACTAAAAATATTCCCTGATAAAAGAAAAAAAAAACTATAAATATATATTATTAAAAGATACAAACAAAAGAAAAAAAAACTATTTCATATTATTATTCTGAAGCAACGATAGAAAGAGATTTAATCTTAGCCAATTTAGCATTGATTTCATCTAATGTAGCTGTACTATTGGTAACAGCATCCGTTTGACCAATAAGATTTCGATAAGCAGCTTCAAGCTGATCGCAATAATGAGCCTAAAAAAGAAAATAAAAGTAACTAAAATAGATTCTTAATTATTTTTCTAATATTACTTGTGCTTCAATAAATGCTTCTAAACATGGATAAACAAAAGCAGCACGTTGTTCATGTAAAATAGGTAATTCATTATTTAAAATTTGATTTTTTAATTCATATTGTTGTTTAGCATCATTCAATTGTTTTTTTATTTGTTCTAATTTATTATTATTATAATTATTATTATTTGTTGTATTTGTCATTGTTGTTAATGATGTTGTTGATGTACCAAATTTTTCATTTATTTTATCTAATTTATTTTGAATTTTAATATAATCATTTAAACTTTGTTCACGTTTTTTTATAGCATTTGTTACATTAGCTAATGCTAATGTTAAACGTTTAGATGAATCAATTATTGTTTTTGATGTTATTTCATTTAATAAATTTGTTTGTTCAGATATATGTTGTGCAGTTATTTTCCAATCATTAATTAATTGTGAAATATTTGTTGATAATGTTGTTGATGTTTGTTGTTGATCATAATGATTTATAAATGTACTACTTGATAAATCATGTAAAAGTTTTAATTGACCACGAGAAAAATCATCAAATGATTTATCTTGTTTAATAAGATCACGTGTTAATGATTTAGCATTATCTTCAAGAGTTTCTAAACGACGAGTTTCACGATCAAAATCTCGAGTTGTCTAAATAGAAAAATAAAAACGAGATGATAAAAGAAACATCAAAAACAATATACATACAATTACACCGATACTTTTACGTGAATTTGTATTTCGAGTAAATGGATTCCTATAAATGAAAAAAGACAAATTTTTAATGAGTTGTAACTAATGAATATTAAGTACAGATAAACTAGAATATCTTTTTAATAACTTTAGTCTTTCTATATAGAATTAGGTTAGTAATTTAATCTTATTAATAAGTTTATAAAAACAAAATATATATTCTTACCAACTACTCATTTGTTTAAATCTTTTAACTTATGACTATACAATATCTAGAATAAATTAATCGAATTTGAATTAAATAAAAGTCATATATCTGATTATAATCGTAGATTTTTTTTTTCTTTGGTTAATTTTCTTTTTTCTTTATGTATCAAAATAAATATAAGAAACATTCACAGACACATTACACATAAACATATATATATATATAAATAAATAAATAAATAAGAAAAAGACAAGATTTTAGCAGTTTTCTTATGATAATAAAACTGCACAAATAAATAATTACGGTGGGAATAAATGAAATGAATATTGACAAACAACAATGATAACATCTCTGTTGACAGTATAACGAAACAGATAAGAAATATGCATATATTAAATTTGTTTGTTTGCTTGTGGAATGATAAATAAACAAGAAAAAAAAAAAAAAAAAGAAAGAAAGAATTGAAATGTTTCTGCATTGCTCAATTAAATCAATATTAAAATGACATGAAAAAAAAAAAAAAAGAAACACATAGATATTTTATTTTTCGTTCACTGTTTTAATCAACTAATGTTAGTTGTCGAACACTTATTGTTCCATCGGCGCCTGATGAAAATAGTTGACGATTAGCTGTTAAATGCAAATGATTAACACCACTTATTTGTGAATGTAAAAATCCTCGACGAGAATGTTCACTATAAAAACAATGAACCATTTCGCAACCATGTAAACGCCAAATCTATAAAATAAAAAGTTTTATTTATTAACTAAATCGAAAAAAACAAAAACAACAAGTTCTTTTACTTTAATATTTCCTTCAGTTGATCCTGTTACATAAAATTGTTCTAATGGATCTAAACAAAGTGCTTTTAAATGAGAATCATGTGCTTGACTCGTTGCTAAACGTTTTCTTTGTCTTAAATCAAATATACATATATCTCCACGTTTACCACCTGATATTAATAATTGATGGGATTGTGAATAAGCTAAACATTGACCACCACCAGTTGTATCATGACAAGAAAATGCTAAATAAAAACAATAAATATTTTCTTTGTTTAATTAGAAAAGATAAAAAAATAAAACACATCAAATGTTGATTTTGTCTACAGAATATTTTCGACTACTTTATTAATAATGGTATGAATAAAAATATCGAGTTTCTTTTAAGAATAATAAAATTTACGTCAAGTTCTTCACATTGAACTTCAACTAACATAATATGGGCCATAAAAGTATTAGAATCAAGATACTTAAATTATGTACATTATGCTCGGTATATGAAAAGTGCACTTTTCAGACTAATTTTTAGTGAGTTTTATAAGACTAAGCAGACTTTTGATGAAAACTAATTGGTATATATGAAATTATCACGAAAATCAAAATCGATCAATACATTTTCAAATATTATGAGTAGTTTTCTTTTTGTGAAAAAAAATTCAGCTGAAATTCCTCTCAGAGTTAACTCAAAAAAAATAAAATAAACCTAATCAAAAGATACAGTGTGATTGAAAGAAAAATAAACTTTGTATCTTTCATTCATTAAATAAACTCAACCGAACGATAGATTTATTAATATAAAAACAAAAAGGACTTTTAACTAATTTAATTTTGTGATTTAATCATGAAAAGTACCTTACGTAAATGTTTCGATGAAAATTAAAATATTCAGAAGATTTTGAAAAATGTATTGATTGATTCAAATTCTTATATTGATTTCAAATATACCATTGGTTTTCGTAAAAAACTAGATCAATCTTATAAAAATTCGCTCAAAACTACACCCACTAAGTCTTCATTTCGTATACCAAATGTAATGTACATATTTTAGGTATTTTATTAGAAGTTAGACTGGAATGAATTTTATATCATTGAGAAGATCTTTCTTTGCTCTATCAAATAGTCTATAAGATAAAATCGCTTATATGAAAATATATGCCAAATGATTTTAATTATTCTTCGCTTACGAGATATTAAATCATACCCTGTTGAAATAACGATATTCCTTAATAATGGTAGCGTCACAGAAAAGTTGAGGTCCTTCTGACTAAAAGTTCTGACGTCGGTACTATCTCTTATGACAGATTTTTGAATAAAGTCATAAAACGAAGTAGAATTAAATGCTCTTTCCTATCCATACAGAATAAACCTTGAAACATTGCATTTGAGATTTAATACAAAAGTCATTAGAATTCCAATAATTTTTTTTCTGGGTATTCTACGCCACACTCAAATCTAACAATTTTACTTAAATTTATTACTAAAAGAATCATGATATTCTTTTGTATAAAATCATCAATAAAGTAGTCAAAAAATATTCTGTAGTTCAAATCAATATCTTATACGTCTATGTTCTTTCATTTACAAGTTATATTTGCCCGTGATGCTGGCATTAATGTATCCCAAATAGCAACATTTTGATGATCATTTGATAAACCACATGTTGCTAATAATGTTGAAGAATCAAGAAAAACAAAATCATTTGCACTTTTTGTATGAGTTAATAAACGCTAAAGAAAAAAAGTTTTCTTATAAAGTTTTTTTTTGTAAAAACAAAAAACAAAATTTACCATATAAGCTGTTGATCGATTACTTGATAAAACATGTAAAGATAAATTTCCTTCGATATCAGTTACACCAAACTATTTTTTGAATAAAAAGAAAAATTTATTTATTAAATTCATAAAAGTGTTTTTTTTTCTGTTTTTCATTACCTTATTTCCTTCATTATTTAATTCAATTTTAGTAACTCGTTTACTTGCTTCACGTACTTGTCTAGGTGCAGAATCATGAGACCAATTAAGTAAATAAACACTACCATCAGCACATCCAGTAAGATCTTAACAAAAAAAGAAAAAACATTTTAAAAAAAAAAATGTTTTTTTTTTTCTTAATTAAATAAAAATTTACAATGTGGTAAAACTGGATGATTAGCAAATTTTCGACTTTCTCGAATAGCATGTCGATTAGTCTAATACGTTTTTAAAAAATAAATAAATAATATTTTTTTTATTTTATTAATCAATAAATTTCCTACAAGAACATGTTGATTTTCTTTATCTGTTGTAGTAGTTCCATTTGTATTGACTACACTTGATTGAGTTAAATACATATTTGGTACATAAACACCCATGGTTGGCATTCGAAGAGATGTTATTCGACTTGTTCCAGTATCACGATTAAGCATTCTAAAAATAAAAATATCATTTTTTTGATAAATAAAAAATATAATGTCTAACGCTGATGCTTGTGGAAGTAAAGATGGTGATAAATCATTTTCATCATCAGATAATTCATATGGTTCATTTGTTAATGTTATACTTGATATATCTAATTCAATTATTTCACGAGATAGACCAGCCGCCAATAAAGTTGGATTCATCTGCTACAAAAAAGAAAAAAAAAATCAAATAGAAAACTGATCAATCGATATAAAAAAAAATAAATGAATGAAAGTTTCATTAAATAAATTTTTCCAGCATTTGTTTTTCAAATGAAATATTTCAAAATTTAATAGTCTTACTCAATAACACAAATTTAAATGTCAAATAAGATAGCTTTTATAGAATCTTATATCCTTTATAAACTATGATCGATTTAATTAGTTATATTCAATGGTAGAATCTTTTTCGATTTTTCAATTCGACTATTCGTTCCATTGATGGATTATTATATTAGATATTACTTCTTCTGAAGATGAAATCGATTAAGTTATTTATCATTAAGTGAATTGATGTTTTAGATAATACCCTAGTCGATGATTTGATCCAGTAAAACAATAATCTGACTGCCACAACCAAATATCGTCTTATTGATAACAGCTAGTCTATCGATTCCGAAAATTTTTGGATCTAGACGTCGAAATACCTGTTTTAGGTTTTTTGTGTCGATTTACTGGTGCACATTGCACATTCCAAAAATAACTAGATTCATCGGGTCCAACATTTTTTGAATATTTATGTATTTCAATACAGAAAATATCTTGAAGATATCAAATTCTCATTTCATCCATAACTAACGCTATAATAAAACCAGAGAAGATCCTATCAGGCAGATTACACAGAGGTATAACGCTTTGGCAATAGAGCCTATCTTGTTGTTAACTCCGAGTCTGACGTTTTTTTTTTTCGTTAACAAGGTATGAGTCCGCAAATTTTGAATTCGACAAGCTGTACATCATAAAAAAGAAATCTTTTTGTTCTTTTCCAGTGGAGTTATAAATTTTTCTAATGTTTTTTAGGGAAAACATCTTTAGATCCATGTTAGCAGCCTAATATACTTACGCTATTAAGACAAAATGAATGAATTGGTTCAGAATCTCGATATATAAGTTTTGCATTCGATTGTGTTGTTGATGATGTAGTGTCTTGTAAACTTTCTATATTTGCTCGACTGTCCGACTAGAGTAAAAAAAGAACCATAATGAAATAATAATAATAATAATAATAATAATAGTAAATTTATCAATTTAAGCTAGCAGTGATTTGACAATCGATTAAACTCACATTCATCGTGTGCAGAGAAAGTGAACGTTTTACAAGTTGTTTTTTTACAGGTGCGGGAATTGTAGGCTTGAAAAATAGATATGAGTCATTATATATTTCGTTTTTTTTTTCTTATTTTTATTTCTTTTTTTAACAAAAAATAAACTCAAAAATAATTACTTTATCAATCATTTTATTCACCGATTGAGTTGTTGGTATTGTTACTTTTCGTTTAAATATATATTTAATAAATATTCCTTGTGATTGTTCATCATTAACTAAATATGTCCAAAGACGTTTTGCTGGTAATGCTGATCTTGATTTTCTTTTTAATAAGAATAAAAAAAAAAAAATAAATAAATAACAAAAGAGAAATTTTTAATAGAAAAAGAAAAATAATATTATTCTTACGAAAATGGAGTATTTTTTGGATCAAGTATTGTTCGATATCGATGTATAGGTAAACCAGTTGTTTGTTCTTCAATAGTATTTAATCCACTTAATGGTAAATAATTATCCGGTGGTACATTAAATGTTTCAAGTGTACGTCGAAGTGAATCTTGCCAAATACTAAGATTTTGTAATAATTGTTGAATTAATGGTGAAACACTTGGAATTTCTTTCATAAACAAATAAAGAATTTTAAATAAAAATTCTCTGTTAAAAATTACCATGTTTTTCAATGCCAATATGAGGAAAAAATGCCCATAAACGTTTATAAACAAGTCGAACAATTGTATAACGCATAAGAACCCATGAATAAGACATTGAGTCTGTATGTTCACGTTCTTGAATTTTTCTATGATATTAATTTATCAAAAAAATTTCAATTATATAATAAAATAAAATAAAATAAAGTTTTCATACCGTTGTTTCTTTTTTGATGTTAATTCATTATCAGTATTTGTTGAATTGGAAATATCTTCATCTTCATCATCTTCATCTTCATCTTCTTCACTTATTTCTTCATCAATAATTGTTGAATGATAATCTCTATCCGATGAAACCTAAATGAATTTATTTTATTGAAATATTTAGAAATAAAAATAGATATAAGAATTACTTTTGCCATAAAATAATTAACTATACTAGCACGTGGAGGAATAAATACTTCTACATAAGATGGTTGTTGCGGTTGTTGTTGAATATTTGGTATCATCATTTTTCTTGCAAAGAAACTTCCAGATGGAAGACGATCTGTTGATGATGGTATTTCGTTATTTGAATCAGCTAAATAATACAAATCATTTTAATTATGAAATAAAAGAAATTTTATTCTTATTTACTAGCTGATGTTGATAAAGTTGAAGGTGGTAGATTTGGTTTATGTTTTTTTGCTCCTCCACCAAATACTCCATACCATAATTTAACAGCTGATTCAGGTGTTGACCATTTTCGTACGAGTAATCGATATAATGTATTACAATCATCAGTTGATAAAGCATAAATCAATAATGACATATAAACTGATATAAGAATTTCAACAAGAAGAATTTTTAATTTTGTTAAATTATTTTCTTGATCTTTTGCTGTTGTTGCAAATATTTTTATACCTTTTTTTTTAAAAAACAAATAAATTATAAAAAGAAACCAATCGAAATATTTGTGTTATAAGTAAATCGTGCTAGATATTTTTGAATCGCACGTTCTGATTAAGGCATTTGAATATTAAGATAAAATATCATAACAAAAGAGAAATAGACCGAAAATTCAAGGATATTTTTAATCATTCAACTCGACAAGCTCTATGAAAAAAATAGCAATAAAATTCTGTTGAAATTTTGATTTATGAATACATTCCATATTCTCTAAATACCAAATATTCGAATATCCCGATCTAAGCAAACCAATAAGAACTTTAATTTGACTCGAATATGTCTCATTTTATTAACTTACAACATAAAAGTTTCCCTGATAATAGAAATATCCATTATGACTGAGACTCCATCGCTATCGTATAAAGAAAAAGCTCTATATCATTACTACATCATCATCATGAAAAACTAACTCTATCATTTTGGATGATATCATTGCTATGAATATTTTTTTTTTTAGAAAACTCTAATGATTTATTTTGTATGTCTTTGAAAATTACCTGGCCAATCTTTAGGTGCAGTTGTTGGTGCTTCTCGTTCAATTAATGCGCTTACACTTTTACGTCTATGTAATCGAATTGATTCTCTTCGATAAAGATATGATCTAATTTAGAAAAAATAAACATAAAGAATAAAAAGGAAATTTTTCTCTTAAATTTGCTTTTACTTTAGAAATGATTCAACAGCAATACGTTCACTTGTTTGATTTTCATTTGTATTACAAAGTGATTGATAAACACAACTAGCTAATGCTATTGATAAATCTCTTATTGCAACAATTTGTACACTTTTATCAGTTAATTTAGGTAATGTTAACCATGTATTCATTGTACGTAATAAATCTTGACTTAAATCTTTTATATAACTAATTGCACTATTACTAACACTTAATGCAAAGGATAGATTAGCTATTAATAATGGTACTTGTGTTGGAAATGGTATTGGATATTTTAATTGTGTACGACGATCACGATATAATTCATGCATAAGTAATAATAATTCCATACGAACAGATGCCAAACCACCACCATGCATTCCATGTAAACTTGTAAATGAAACTAATGTACGAAGAAGATGTTCATTTGATTGAAGCCAATGACGACGACGTAATGAACGTTTCATTTTTGTTTCAAAATTATTCGTATGAATAAATGATGATGATGATGGTGATGATGAATCCATACTTGAAAATGTATTAGGTGGTAACATTGGATCATCGTGTATGTCGGATAAAATTGGTTCATCAATATCTAGTGAGCAAAAAAAAAATGTTTTTCTTTTTTGGTTATTGAAATAAACTAACTTTCAAGAGAATTATTTGGATCATCTTGATCAGTATTAGTTGATGTATTTAAATTACAGAATTGTCGAATTACACCAATTTCTTGTTCAAGCCAACAAGCCAAATGATGTCTAAGATGAAAACAAAAAGATTTATGAAGTTTTACTCATGAAAGATATTTCTAATAGTTTATGTATACAAAATTCATGTTAGGATCTGCATTTTATTTAGATACGATTATAAGAGTTTATTCTTGGTATCTATAGGATTATATGCATTTACTTAGATTCTTCTACTCTTGTTCTTGTGATTGCTGATCATACATTATTGATTTTATTTTTTCAAAAGACAAATTAAAGGTCCAGAACGGTGAATGTCTATTTTTGAGAGTACAAGCATATAAAGCATAAGCTTTAGAAAGGTCAAACCTAACATATAGTGCAAAAGACTTATCAAATTCAACAAGCGAACTCCTCCAACTGTTCAATCACTTTTGAGTTGAGACTATGGACATTGTGTAGATCCAAATTAGTTAAGCGTACTGGATGTCTTGAACTTATTGAGACTATTGAAGTAGAGAGATAAAAAACCCTAAGATAAGTAGAATAAAACAATATTCCTATGATTAGCAACAGAACGTTTAAATTTACAAAAAATTGTACTAACAAGTTTTCAAATGAAAAATATTTTATATTCTAATCGATATGCTTTGCTTAATATAATCTTAAATATGTTTACCTAAGTTGTCCACCGGCAACTTCAAATCCAGTTGCTAGTGTTGCCATTTCTTCGACAATAATTTTTAAACAACAAATTAATTTCATATATTGTCCAATAGTATCAAATTGTTGTTTCACTGATTTATCTTCAGTTGATAGTGTTGGTTTTGGAATTGGTTCTTCAATTATTTTTTCTTCTTTTTCATTATCATTATCATTCTCATCATCACTCCATTCAAGTTTTAAATCATCATCATTTATTTTTGATACTGGTTGACTCCAATCAATAGTTTCAGTTTGTTTTGATTTAATATCATTTGTTGTATCTATTGAAGATTTTGTTTCATTTGATAAAATAATATAAGCTGGTAATTTAGCAAGAATTTCTAATGCTAATAAAGGACAACCTGTTTTTAAATAATAATAAGCTGTACGAAAATGAACACGACGTTCAATAGAAAAATTTTTTGAATTTTCATTTAAACTTTCATGTGATAATTGTTTTGAACGTAAAACAAGTGGATGTTGTTTTAAATAATCATAAAAAATAAATATTGTTTGTTGTTGTTCAAATATATCATTATGAAGTAATGTATTTAATGAATGTTCATAATCTTTTAATAACCAATAAGACATACTACGATAAAATGGATCATTATGTGGTTTAGTTAAAATTTCTTTATTAAGAATATTATTAACTAAATTTTGTTCATCATTTTCATATAGACGAGCAACTAATAAAGCTAATTGTATATCATTTAAATTATTTATAATAACTTCAATAGCATCACGAATTTTTCCAGCAAGAAGAAAAAATGCTGCTGCATGTTCAAAACGTTGTTTACCAAGTAATGCAAATGCATTTTTTTGTGCTGCTTTTAACCAACGTTCTTGTGTAAAATCATTTTTAAAAAAATCTTGCATTTTAGCATCTTGAACATGTCTTTAAAATAGATAAGAAAAAATAAAATTAAAATTATTGATTATTATTATTATTATCTACTCACTTATATAAATTGTAGACTAAATTTTTTCTTTTAAGTGCAAGAAAATATAAAGCACTATCAAGTGGATTATTATTTAATTCAAATGCTGCTTTACCAAGCTAAAATAAATAAAAATTAATCGTTAGAATATCAAAACGTTTTCAAATAGTTTAATTATCATTATTTTCTATCTTTATATATAAATGAAATAAACATAATTATGAATAGATAATATAGAAATGATCAAATATGTAGAAAAACTAAAAGAAAATTGACTATTGAGAATAGATTAATAAAAAAAATTCGATAAATAAATGTACGAAGATTGAATCTTATACATTATAGATACTCATATTTTAATGTTATTTATGATTATTGAATAAAAATTTGTATACTTAGAAGTTTCTTTTGTTTTTTTTTTTTAGTTTTAATCACCTTTTCAAAAAGTTTTATAATAAGACTTTTATTTCGAATCCACCATCCAACACCAAATAATTGTAATTCACTCCATATTGGTTTATTTTTTATCATACATGGAAGCATACCAAGTAAATCTTCTTGTGAATCGGAATGAAATGCCCAAGCATATGATGCACTTGTTATAATATGTTTTAATGGTGAATTTCCTTGTATATTTGGTAATGAAACCATTCGTGATAAATAAATATAACGTTGAACATCAATTAAAAATCTAAGACCACAATCATCCATTGTATCTAAAATATACAAAAACAAAAAAATAAAAACAAACAAAAAAAAAATGAAATTCTTTTACTTGTTGGTTTTTCGCCTGAATATGTTTGATTTGATAATGAATCATTACTTGCATTAGCTAATGTATCAGCTAATGCAAGTAAATACATTTGTTCAAGACTTGTTAAATTTGATAAACGAACACGTTGAAAATAATCAACAAGTAAATCAACCATTCGAGAATCGAATGCTGGTGACCAATTTCGATTTGATAATAATTCTTTTCGAAATTTATTTAATTCAACTAAATATAAATGAAAATATTATTGATATATGAATTAAAATACAACCTTACAAGAGAAAATAAAATAAAAATGCTAATTATTAACTAACAAAAGAAACTTCTTCATCTGTTTTCAATAATTATACTACATAATGTTCGAGCAAAAATGGTCAAAAAAGAATTTCGGTTTTTCTTATTATTTGACTAAGTTATTGAGTTTCTTTTCTAGAGGATCCGATTTTCGAAAATTTTCATTGAAAATTTTGTGCATATAAAGAACTTAACTAAAATAGGTTTGTGAGAACATTTTCAAAATTTTGAATAAAATCTTTTCGAAGTAAACCTGAAAAAGGATCAAGGTTTTGTTCAAAACTTATGAGTTTTTTTTTATGGAGTCTCGTCTAGTTGAGTTCTCTTTATGGGTAAAGTTTTAGATCGAATTTTGCAAAAAAAAAGAGTTTTCCAAAAACTTGAAGTTTCTAGAAAAAAATTCCATAGGTTTAGTTACATATCAATAGAAATTCAGATCTGTTTAGAGACTTTATTAGAAGACTGTGTAGTATAATCATTGAAATCGAAAGGAAATATCTGAAAAAATTACCTCGTAAGTCAAAAAAAAACAACTGTTAGCACAATTTCCGAAAAATTAAAATTTTCTGTTGCGAATCACAGAGAAATTGTTTTATTCTATTTATTTTAGGACACATTTCTTCATCATCGTTTTATTTAATTCTCCCAAAAATGCAATAACGAAGTCGTTTATACATTGTAACGAGACATCAATACTTCTTTTAGATCGTATTTCACAAAAGAGTATTTTAGCAATTTTTTTTTAGATTGAAATAGTTTTCTTTAGATCAGGACCAAACAAATGTACTGAGAATCATAATAATCAGAACTGAAACTAAGAAAAAAAAAGAACGTAAACTTGATTCGACACATTCTTTGATTAAGAACTATGATAATTTCTCATAGAAATTTTATTTTAAAATAACTAACCTTGTTTTTTTCTTTCAGCATCATGTATATGATCTTCATCAAATTTAAATTCAATCTCTCTATTTATATCCATAGGTGATCCTGTTGTAAATAAATCTTCATATTTATCTCTACCATTAATATCATCATCTTGAAGATTATTATCTTTTGTATTAACATGATCATTATTAGTAATATTTTCATGATCAGCATTAAATAAAGCAAATAATGGTAATAATGGTACAGAATCAATTTCAACATATTTAACATGATCAACTTCAGCTATTGATGGTTCAGCAGTATCACTATTAGCTATTGAAAATGTTCGACTACGCATTAATTTCATTTCAACTTTTCCTTCAACACTATGGACTGTACTAACAATACAACGTGTTAAATGTGCAAGTATAGCTTTAACACGACGATATTTTCCAAAACGTACTAATTCTAATAATAATGTTGGATGATATTGTGGTAAAACAGGTGCAGCATTTCGAGCTGCATGAAATAAACTAAGTTCATCAATTGAATCTAATGTTAACCATGATGATGGATGATCTAAACTATTATTATTTATATTAAAATCACTATTTGTTGCAAGTTTTTTAAGATTATTCGATGTATTTATACGACGTTTTGTTTTAATTAATGGTTCAGATTTAACTGAATGTCCTTGTCGTTTTAATGATGTCCATTGTGAATAAACTTGTAATTCACTATTAATACCAATTAATAAAAGACCACCACGTACCCATTTTAAACTTAAATTAGAACATAAAAAAATATTTTTATTTACAGATGTTAATTCAATAGTACGTAATTTTGTCCATTGTGATAATTGTGTATAAGAATAAATAAAAACATAATGTACATCAATTGATGTTGCTAATAAATGTGCACCATTTTCAATTGATGCCCAATCAAAATGTACAGATAATGTATTTGTTTGTTTTTCAATTTCATTTATTGGTATTATTGTTTCACAATTAAATGATGTACCACCTGTTGATTCACATTCATATATTCCAATTTGAATTTTTTTATCATAATAAGCAACAGCTAAACGACCACAATATGCATTACTTATTGCTAATGGTTGTCCAGAAATTTTTAAACGAGAATTTATTTGATTATCAAGTGTTATTCCACACCATTCAGACCATTCATATGTATTTAATGATTGATGTTTACATGTCCAAAAACGTATTATACCATCGGTATGTGCAGTTGATAAAAGATATGGAGATGATGATGATGAATCAGAATAACAAAGTGTACTTGAACTTAAATGACCAAATGCAACATCAACTGATTGAAGTTCAGCATTGGAATCTAATGGAAGAATATACGTACTAACCTTAAAAAATAAATAAATGATTTATTTATTTATTTTTTTCGTATTAAATATTTTGTAAGATTTTCTTTTTTTCGTTACCTTAGAACTTTGAACTTGTACTATCCATTCATTATCATTAGTAAAATTATTTATACTTATTGATTCATTATCATCATCAGGATAAGTTATAATTATTTTCCACATATGTATATAACTTTGACTATTATCATTATTATTATTTGATTTTTCAACAAGTACAAGATAATAAATTTTACTTGTTGTTGTTTGTTCACTATGATCATCAATTGCATTTGCAGGAAATATATGTATTAATTCAGCATGTGTCCAAATCTAGAATTTTAATATTTTAAAAATCCCCCTATCCCAAAAAAAATAATAACATACACATTTTGAATCTGATATTTCTGCAAGACTTAAAACACAACTTGGTCGAGCTGTTGATTGATTACTAACAACATTTAATCGTGGTGCATTTAAATCTGTTGATGGTGATGAACGAATAGAATTTGATTCGAAATTACCAAGAACTTGATAAGACTAAACAAAAAAACAATAAAAACAAGAATTATTTTTTTGAGTACAATGCAAAAATTTCTTCAATCTTTCAAATTCAAAATTTTATTTGATGTACTTAATAGAAACGATCGACATGTGTTAGTCTATAAAATTATCATTCCTTTTATAATTACATTTTTTTTACTATTTCGTTCAACATTTCCAGAAGTATAATCTATGACTCTATTTAAATTAAAACATTCCGCTCAATATAGACATCGACGTGTTATTTTGCTTGTATTAAAGACAAGGATCTTTATGATTTGACAAAACATCCTAGATTCTTAATTTGTTGTAAACATTATATCCCAGAAGACTAAATAATATTTATATGAATATCAAAATTCAGAAAACTTTGAGTTTCTTTTATTTTTCTTCGAGAGAATTTTTCTCACATTCAATTTAATTAATATTAGATGTCAAAATAAAATTAAAAAAAACAAATCATACCTTTGAAGTTGCAATTTGACTTGTTAATAAAGCTTTTGCATTACATACAACTTGATATACACGTAAATATTTACCATCTGATGCACAAAATAGTAGACTTGGTGATTCACGTAATAAATTAATATTCATACTATATTATGTAAAAAATAAAATCAAAAATAAATATTTCAATAAAAATAATTCTTACCAAGGCATAACTAATGGAAACCAAGCAATTAATTTAAATGCACCATTATTAATTGATTCTATTCGAGCTAATTCAGTTATTCCACCTGTCATTGTTAATGGTCCAATTGGTTCTGTACTCCAAAGTATTAATGAATTATCATAACGTTGTTTTTTACCATAATTTAATTCATTATTTTCATCATAATATGAACTTGTTAAAACAAGTGATACAGTTGGATGACATACAATATGTCTGATAGGAAAATGATGACCACACATACGTGCTGTATGTGTAACACATGTTAATGATTGAAATTTTTGTTCTTCATGAAATGTTAATGACCATAAATTTAATGTACCATTTGTATGTTTAGTTATCATATTAATAATAGGTAAATGTTGTATTTCTTTTGTTTGATTTAATGATAAATATTGATCAAATAAAAAATGATTACAATAAATAATTAAATGTGGTTGTAAAGATAAAGCATCACCTAATGGAAATATATCAGGTATACGAGCTGAAAAACTAACTTGAACTTGTCGATGAAGCATTTGATATTTCATTAATGATGATGATGGTGATGATAATGATGAAGAAGAACATGATGAAGAAGATAATTTTGTTAATGGTTGATCAAGCCAATCAATAACCCATAAAAGTAGACTACCATCAATTGGATGTATACTAAATACAACATCCGAACTATTTTTCCATTCATCAATAAGTTTTTTTAAATAATTTCGTATTTGTAAAACATATTTTGAATCATCTACTTGAGAATTTCGAGTTTTATTTATAGTTGTTAAGTCTATTTGTGTATCATTACTATTAGTATCATCAGTATCAATATTTGTTGAAGATATTGTTGGTCGTTTAAGTTTTCGTTGAATATCAAGAAGAAATTGTTCAATAGAAAATAAATTATATAAATCTTTATTATTTAACCATTGAACAATAAACATATAATCTTTATGTGTTGGTATATTTGGTGCAAGTAATGAATCTGTACTTGGATTTATTGTTGTTGCTAAGTGAAAACGAAGATGTCTATGTGTTGATGATAATAATGTAGATGATTGAGAATTATTTTGTACAAGTGAAGATGTTGATGATGATGGTGATGATGAAAGTGTTGTTATTACTTGACCATTTGCATTATTTATATCTTCATCATTTGTCAATGCTGTATTGGAAGAAATAAGTGATGCAGGAGTATGTGGATCTTGATGATCAACATAGGATGCTGGTGATGATACATCTGGACGATTGCTTATTGGAATAAAATAATTGTATCTATGAAAAAAAAAATTAAATGATTTAAAAAAAATTTCATTCAAATGAAATATTTTGTCAGTATATTAAATAATTATTAAACTTGTAAATTGAATAAATGATCAATCAATTATTTACATAGTCAGTTAGTGATACATCAGATTTATTAATAAATTTAAATATCATTTAATTGCATCACAAGATAAATATAGAAATTAAAATGTGTTTTAGTATGATTCACTTTTTTATCTTTGTTTTCTCGTGCTTTGTAGTTAGAGTCGGTCAGACTGATTTCAGACCCGGGCCAAAGATTTTGAACCTAATGGGCTCTCGTCGCCTAAGAAATATGTATCATGTGCTAATCACCGAAGACAAAAAAAAGATCGGACAAAGGTATCTTGCATTTTTGGGACAATCATTCAATTCAGATTAGCAAGTTTCATTGAGAGTATCAGAAAAAGTTTCAAGAAACCAAGTCCGGATCCGAAGAATCTGAACCCGACAGGTTTTACATGTATTACAGATGTTACATGCGGCATATATGTACCTACTCGTTGTTTCTATTCTTTTTTTTGACTTCAGTTTGCCATCGACGACTAAAAACAAATGGACGTAGTACAAGTTGCTCATAATGAAAGTGATATATGAGATCGTCGAAGAAAATTATGATATGAAAATGAAAGACTTTGCCAAAAAAAAACGAAACGAAAATATTAGGTTAGCGAGGTTATATTTGATAATTTTGATAGAGCAGAAGCATTAATTAGAAATGAATAGTGAAAACAATATACGAACGATAAAGAATATGGAAGAATAATCTATTACAGATATAGTAAAGCCAAGCGTCGTAGACCTTAATGTGAAGTAAGTATTTATGTGCTATATAAAGCAGATAGTGAAAAAAAGTTATTGATTATAAAACTGCAGCTGAGCACGATAATTATAAGAGTGTATTGGTGTGAATAAAATGAAAACGTATTCGAATCAATTCTCTATTTAATGCGAATAAAAAGAACTCCGTTGATAAAATTTTGACCACGAAAATCATAAGTTGAAATTAAAAATGCTTAACTTTAATACAAAAAATTGATATTCATATTCGAATCTCAATAAAATAATAAGAATTTCAAAGAAATTCATCAAAGTTTCGTTTTCTTTTTCTTTCCTAAACTTTTCTTTTTTGCACTAGTTTTTAATGATATGATTTTTTTGTCAAATTGAACATATTCATTACCGTAATTTATATAATTTTTGTACACTTTTATCTAAACATTCAGTTTGTCTTTTTCGTTGAGTTCTTATCGTTGTTGGATCATTGATATATATTGCCGATTCATCTTGTTGCATAGTTTCACACCATATACGACAAATGTTATCTTTACAACATGTTAATAAACAATTAACAACTGTGCCCCTATTAAAATAAACATAAACGAAATTCATTATTTTTTTTATGGTTTTTTTTTTTCTTTAATTTTATTTACTCTGCAAAAAATTGACTTGTTTGCCTCCACGATATATAAGTAACTGCTCGTGGATGAGGTAAATAAGTTGATGTAAATGAAATAATTGCACTATTATTTAGAGTTCGATACCAAATTTTAACTAAACGATCATTCTAAAATAAGAAATTAATTTTTTTTTAATAAATCTTCAATGTTTGATTTACTTGGGATGCTGTAGCAAAAAGAGATCCATCATTTGAATAGGTTACATGTTTTATTGGTGATGCTGATCTTTAAAAATAAATTAATTAAAGAAAAACATAAAAGCCTATGTATAAATATTGAAATTTGGTTTTTTTTACTTATAACTCCAAACATTTTTCCAGTTTTTTGAAGCAATATTTGACGATAATTTTCCTGATATATCACTTCCACCTATGTCAAAATCAACTTTATTTGATCGAGGTTCATTATCATCATATTGATTAAACCAAACTTGTAAACCTGACTCACAAACAACAATTAATTGATCACCTAAAATAAATAAATTCAAATATGATAAATATTATCCTAAAGAAAAAAAAGAAATATTTAAATTCTAATTGTAATAGTTGTTTTGCTCAAGGCCGAAACAAAAATTATCGAAAACAAAGATCGCCAGATTTCTTTTGATAATCTATAACAATGATATTTCTTTTCGTTTCATTTTTAAATGTATACTGTTGAAACAGAGAATATGCTGAAGATTAAGAAAAAAATTTGTAGGAAGCTCATAAGTAAATTGAAACATTTCTGTATTAAACTTCTTATAAATAATGTTTGTTTTTTTATTATCACACACCTTTCGGATGCCATGCAACAGCTGTTATTTTCTCATTGGAACATGTTATTGTATGTTTTAATGACCATCGATAATTGACTTGCTAGAAAAACAAAACTCAACAAGGTTTTAAAAAAAAAATAGAAATAGAAAATTAAAATTCTAACATGATGCCATGATCGTTCAGAAGTAAATGTTGGTTCATAAATGCAAACTTGATTTCCAAAACCAGCTACAATCTAATCATTCAATGAAATTCAATATACAAAAGATAACAACAATAAATTCAAAACGAACTTTGCCCGATTCATATGTACAATCAATACATGTTAATAAACATTGATTATATTCATTTCCTGATAAAAGAACTTGAACACGTTGAAAATCACCCGATAAAATCACAATATTATAACCAGCTGTATAAGCCTTGAAATAAAAACAAAAACAGAAAATCAAATAATTCATTGCATAATGAATTATTCATTAAAACTACATACCACAAAATGTATACTCTCAATACTACCTGCGGCAAAACTATAATCACTAGGATTGGCCGCTCCAGTTAAAATCTGATGTCGATGCATATCATCTAAAGTTAAACAAATCGAGTTTTGTTTTGTTTTTATGTTTATTTTTTTTAAAATCGGCACTTGTCTTTTGATTTTTCCTGCCGTTTAAAATTTTATTATTCTTATGTATGTATGGGTTTGCAAAACAACAAAGTTAGCAACAAAGCAGGATAATTGAAAAAAAAAGAAACAATAACAACAAATCTAAGCCGATTGAGTACGTGCTGTCGTTGTTGTTGCTGTTGCTTGTTGTTGTTCTTCTTGAAGACGATGTTTTTTAAGTGGACCCATAAATATACGTTTTTCTTCATGTGTTTGAAATCGACCGTGTCCAAATTTCGATGATGTATCGATAAAACGTAATTCAATTTGTTCTCGATGTGAACGTTTAGGATTGAGAATAAGTGATTTACGTAATGTAATCGGTCGTTTCTTTGGACCAATACAACAACCTTTAATCATGATGAAATCTTGTCGTACTTCACCATAGTGTGGAAAACCACCCTAAATAGAAAAAAATGAACGCAATATTAATTAACACATTATCAAATATCTAGTTAGTTTTTTTCTCTCAGCGAAAGAAAAAAGAAATATACAATTACACTTGAAACTGAGAACATAATAATTATCGATATAGGTTGGGGCAAAACTCAATTAACCGTAAAACAAAAAATTAAATAACTTCGTAAAAAAAAATTGACTGATGATAAATGAATGTTCATATTGATAGGAAACAAAAGTTGATAAGAACCCTTTTGAAATATTACTATTGGCTTCAACAAAAAAAAATCTCTATGTTCTCATAGGTAGTAAAAGAAAAACAATGTCAGTGTGGATGAGTACCTCCGATAGAGAATGATGAATAAATAACATATTGAATGATGCTAGAAGAGAGGAAATTAAATAAGCATACGGAGAACCCTACTGCGAGTATAATCGAATCGCATCGGAAAGAAAAGGGGCGGCTTATCATCTTCATCTAATAATCAGTATTTTATTCAACGTGAGACTCGACGAAGATGGCGTCATGCGAATATTCATGCTTATTGTACCATAAACTATATGTCTATGCTTCGAAAAACAGATGTGCGCCCTCTCAGAATTTTAAATTGTCCCTTCAGAAAAGAAAATCTGGATAAAATACATCCGGCCATATCGAAAATAAAAGTCATAGTCAACTTACCATAGGATTAATTGTTTTTTCTGTTGGATCATGTTCAGTTGAACCAGTATTTTTAACTGTTTTACCATCTTTAACTTGTATAGCTTCACCCATACGGTAGATTTTCTTATTAATTTCCGTACGATGATGATAACCTTTTTGACCAGCACGAGCAACTGATCGTGATACATGTGCTGGATGCCATGCACCAATACAAGCTACTTTTCTTAAACCTTTATGTGTTTTACGTGGTAATTTTCTTGTATGCCAACGTGATGTAACACCTTTAAAACCACGACCTTTTGTTACAGATATTGTATCAATCATTTCATCTTTTGAAAAAACTTGATTAACAGGTACTTGTTTTTCTAAATGTTCACGAGCAAAATCAACTTTTTGTTGAACAGTACCACCATTTAATTGTATTTCCATAATATGTGCTTTTTTTTGTCGTTTACGTAATAATTTAACTTGTGTATGTGCTAATACACGTATAACCTTACAATATTTAGCCATTTGTTTAAAATCCTGTTCAATTGCTTTTTTACCCGATGCATCATCCCATTTTTTCGAATATTTTGTAAATGCTTTTCGTTTTGATGCATACCAATTTTTATAAAAACGTCGACGACATTCTTCATTTAAATGTTGAGCATAAATTGTTTTATATGCACGAAGACCACGAGGTGTTACAATATATCCAACAACACCAACAACAACCATAGGTGGTGTTTCAATTATTGTTACAGCTTCAACAGTTTCTTTTTTATTTAATTCTATTGAAAGAAACAAAAACAAAAAAAACTTTTTGTGTTAATATAGACAAAAATATAATTGAAAAAAAAAAGCTTACTTGAAGCAGGTCGATCTACTTCACGAACAATATGAGTCATGCCTGCTTTGTAACCAAGAAAAGCAGTAAGATGAACGGGTTTTTTTGGATCATCTTTTGGAAATGATTTTACTTTGCCACGATGACGACGAGCACGTTTCTTAGGCAAAAAGCCAAGATTTCCATGACGTGGATGTTCAAATTTTCGATGGCTCATGATGAGACTTGAAAATTGTATAGATAAATGATGTTCGATCTAAAGAAAAAAAATAAAAATAATCTTTTATTACTTTTTGTTATTCTCTAGGGTTAAATTAATGATAAGATGAAAAATGAAATGAATTCTTTCCTCCGAAATGAATCCAAACAAACAAGATCAATAAATAGGTTTTTGATGGATTTTGGTGGAAAAAAGTTTTTTATAATGAATCCACTTTATTGACGTTGACTCTTTAGAAATATTTATTTTATATTTATTAAAATAATTTTTATTAAAATTATTCATAATTTTATATTTATTTTGTTTAAAAAAAAATGGGAAGTTAATTAATAGATGTCGTTCAATGAAAGACTCATTTTTTTTATTTCATTGCTACAAAATATACTAATTTCATACTTAAAGTACTTTTTTTTTCAGCCGTTTTTTATAATCAATAATCAATAACAAATAAAAATAAAACGAAAGATGTTCATTTAGAATTCTAAATTATTTTTATTGTAAAATAAAAATCAAATATTCTAAATATAAAATTTTTATTTAAGTAATCCATTGAAGTTTTGATAAATTTATTCACAATGCTCGGCGTCTTTATACTTCTATACAATTGATTTGTTAACTTTTCTATTTTCTACTATTTCATTAAATGATTAATTATATTCTAATAATGAAGATGAACGAATGGCATTCATTTCTCTCATTAAAAATATATTTTCTTAAAATAGAAAAGTAATTGTAAAAGGATTTCACAGTCGGAGGGTATTCATTTCAAAAAAAAAGAAAAAAAAAACAAGTTATTTTATTTGTCATATACAGAAAATCTAGTTGATCTCATGGAAAATAAGAAATTTTTCTTTTTTTCTTCATCATGAGAAAGACATTCATTACGAACGAAATAGAAAAATGATAACCAATTAATGAATCCGGACACGAACGTACTCTGTCTCTGATAGTCATAAATGGGAAATTCTAAATAGAATTTGTTTTCTTTATTAGAATTAAACCTAATATGAAAGTTAAAATAAATCAATTGAACATATTCGAAGAGTCCTCTGTCGAACGATTATGAATGGGGGTGGTATGCATTGTCGTTTCTTTATAATTTGTGGACGACAAACAAGTATACTTACATATATGCTTATTCGCACAACACAGCATTTGTCCTGTTGTTGTTTCAATAGTCGCTATCGATGCGAATGTAATTACAGATATAATTTTATCTGTTTAAAATAAAACTAAAAGAATCTTAATTATTTCAGTTTTGTTTTCTTTTTCTTTTTTGTTTTATTACAAAAAATTTTGAATTTATTTTCGTAAAAATTCACTTGATTTTTATGATTATTTAAGATCTTTTTCTTTTTCATTGTCTAATACATTCAAATTTTATAATATATTAAAAATAGTATTTCAGTATTATTATTATTATTATCTCTTTTTTATATAAATATTGTACAAATCTTCCAAAAAAGACCATCACTAGCCCTTCTTATTACTTCTTTTCTTTTTTCATCAATCCTAATTTTTTCTCTCTCCCTCTCTCTGTCTCTGTGTCTGTCTCTCCCTCTCTCTCTCTCTTTTATTCGCCCCTTCGTTTATGCGCCCCGTACCTCGTGTATGCTGTGTATGTGCGTCGTTGACGACAACCACAGCAGATCGAATCATATGGAAGATCATATGTGGGTAAGAGAGAGAGAAAAAAAAATGGAAAAAGGAACGACAAAACAGCTGATTACCCTTTGTAAAGCGCTAGCGAAAAGGGGCATCCATAATGGGTAACTGGTGTACATACATATATATGCCCGCATACTTCGTCCGCTCGACATGTTCAATCAAATCAGCTCATCAGTAAGAGGCAGTCAATAGTATTTTTCTCTCTTTCCGTTAGGGCCCGCATGAAAGACTACATACAATTATACTATACATAATTACCTTTGTATGTTTACCTGTAGTTTCTCTTTCTATTATAGATGTTTTCAATGACATTTTCCTAGTCTTTTTAGTTTTTAAATTGACATCAACTTCCATCATCGAAATTGGTTCTTTGTTTTGTGTTAATTTTTTGCTTTTTATTTTTCAATCAATTGTGCTCTTTGTTTTTTTTTATTGTTTGTTTGTTGTTTATTTGTATTAAAAAAAAAAAAATAATAATAAATCAATGGCAACAACTAATGATCAATCACCATTTTTTGATCTACAAATTGAATCACCATCAAGTTCATGTTCATCATCACCACCAACATCATTGAAACCAGTTAATAGTCAACATGAAATTGATTCTGGTTGTGGTAGTGATGATGATCCAGCATTAGCTTTAAAAATTAATAAAGGTCTTTCAATGGGTTATGATTATGAATTAATTAAAAGTGTTATACAACAACAAAACGATGGAGATGATATGTCAAAATTTATTGAAACAATTGTACGTACAGCTGAAGTAAATAGTAATTCAAATTCAACATCAATTAATAATAATAGTCCATCAAGTAAAAGTTGTTCACCAACAACAATTAATCAAAAAACAGATATTGATTCATCATCAATAAATTCAAATTGTTCAGAAACGTCAATACCTATTCCACATGATGTTTATATTATTGATGGTGCTGATCTTGCTTATAGGTAAAAAAAACTGATAAATTTTCTAACAAGCCAAATTTAAGCAGTCATCTTCTTTTGGAAGTTTCTTGATAGAAGAAAATCGATTTTTTTTTGCTGAAGGTACTTTTCTCAGTAAGAAAAACTGAGTCTATGCGACTGAATTTAAGATTAGTTTCATAGACTCACTTTTTCATAAATTTGATTTTGTTATCAAAGGGCTTTCAAACAATCATTTGTTTAAAAAATGTAATTTAAATTTATATTACTTTAGTTTTGGTAATAATGTATTTTCATGGCGTGGTATTGAAATTTGTATAAAATATTTACATTCACATGGTCACAAAAAAGTATTTGTTGCATTACCATATTCATTAAAACATCATCGACATGATCAAAGTTTTTCAGAATCAAAATCATTACGTGATTTAGAACGTAAAAATATGCTTGTTTATACAAATCGTATGTCAAAACAAACAAATAAACCAGGTTCATATACACATATAAGTGAAATGTTAAAATTTTCACAAAAAACTAAGGGACATTTAATAACAAATGTTTCATTAAAAGATGTTATACTTGATTTTACTATTTATAAACATATTATTGAAGAAAAAGTTATTCGATACCGTTTTCAAAATGAAAAGTAAGATATGTTTAATTTTTATACAAAAAGAAAAAAGAAAGTACATTTGATTTTTTTTTTGATTTAGTTTTCAACCATTATTAGTAACAATTGTAAGTGGTGATGATGGAAATGATTGTGAAACACATTATCCATTATGTCCTTATGGTAAAAAATGTACATATGGTTCAAAATGCAAATATTTTCATCTTGAACGTCGATATCAAAATCCATTATCAATAACTGAAAGTCTTCAAATGAAAGCACGATTAGAAAAATCGAAATTACAACATCAATCATCAAATCCATCCATGATGCCAGTATTAATTAATAATAGTAAACTAAAATAAAAACAAAAACATTTTCTTCATCAATTCTTCTGTTTTTTTTTTTGTTATTTTTAGCATTTAAACCAACATTTAATCATACAAAATCAGTTCCTGATCAAATACACATGTATAATGATCGACATTCACCAACATCATTTTATCCAATGATGGATCAAAGTCTCGTTGATGATGCCCGTACGACTTATGAATATGGTTTATCATCAACATCACCAATATCAACATCAAATGATTTTTCATTTATTGATCAACGTTTACCAATTCAACAACCAACACGACAAGCACAAATTCCAACATATCATAGTTGGTTTGGTACACCAAATCAACAACAGCCATTTTTTAATCGAACTTTTTCAATGCCACAACAACAAACAAATTTATTTTCAAATAATGATTCTCAACGTATCATGGAAGAACAACAACAGCAAATGGCAGCAGCTATACTTATGCATCAACAACAACAAAATTGGGCTAGACAACAACAACAACAGCAACAGATGTTTCCTATGCAACAACAACCACAACAATTTGAGCAGGTAAAAATATGTCGTCTAAGTAGAGATCCGCACGGAGTCAACTAAGTGTTTTGTTACATTTTGGAGGTTCTAACGATGTTTTATCATAAGCCTATGAACTAGTGTTCTGCATGGGCATGATTTTTCACACCTGAACCCGAGCTAATCAATATCCGACAGATACTTTCATAGTCTTTGTACAATTTTTCAAATCTTTACTTTATATGAGAGAACGTAAACCATTTTATTTCTTCTGTTAACAAGGTTCACTTGATATCTTGATAATACGTTTTTATGATGACTTGGTTGCAGAATACTAATATGGACATGAAAAACATGTCGGTACGGAATTGAGTTTGACTCTGACTCTATGTTCTGTTAGAATACTTATCTAAAACATTGTTAGAAACTTTATAAGGCATCACTTAGTATAATAAATAGTAGAAAACCAAACTAACAATTCAAAAAATTTTAAAGGAAAGTAATGGCAACAAAATAATAATCTTTTTCATTATTATTATCAAGTTGTTTCATTGTAGCTGTATTGAACGCATAGGCTTTCTTTAATTCATTAATTACTACGTATAAGTTTGAATTGGACGTAGTAATATTTGCATTAAGCCGGTGTTTCCAGCTGTCTAATCCATGCATGTGTATGTGAGTAGAGAAGGTCAATATTTACACCCACATCCTATTAGATAAATTCAAGGTTGCTCTGTTCTAAGATTCATTAACTTCAATGTCAGAATATTCTTCGCACAGGTACAATAGTTTAAAAAGAAACCAATTATGAAAAGTATAGTAACGTTTAAAAAATCTTTTTTTTTTTGTTTCTTTTTATTATAAGAATGTTCTTCGCCTTCTATCAATGCTTTCTTTCCAACAACAAAATAATATGATAAATAATCATAATCAACATTTATCATCTATGAATACAATGATGCCATCCATGACAGCTCAATCATCTCAACAACAACAACAACAACAACAACAACAGCAACAACAAGAAAATCAATATGATCGTTCTTCAATTAATAGTCAACAATGTTTAGCTGATAAAATTCAAGCTGTACGTCATCTTTGGGAATCAGAAAATCAATATTCAAATTCTTCACAACATGTTCATCAAATATCAAATTATAATCAACAACAAAATTCATCTATGGTTGATCCAACTGTAAGTAATCATATGAATACAAATTATCAACAAGCAACACATGGTTTTATTCAATTTCAATAATAGATAAATAGAAGGAGGGATTGGATCTCTTCATCTGTCTTTCAGTATATTTCTGTCTCTTATGTATCCTATTTATTTATTTGTATAATCACATACATTCTTAGTATGTATCTTGGTGTTTGTGTGATTGTTTTCATTACTCCTTCTTTTCTTTGACACTTGGTGAGCATAATCATATATCCATCGAAGTTTATGCATTGTTTTTGTAAATAGAAAACAAGAAAAAGAAGAATAATAAGAAGACGCTATTTGAAATTTGTCGTTGTGACATATGTAGCATAAAATATGTATTTCATCTTTTACTCTTTATTGTGTACGTACGGTTTTCTTGTATGTAGTTAGGTCAAATGTATATTATGCTCGCACTGCGAACAACATTACTCTGGTTCCTTTTTTTTTTTTTTGTTTTGTCTTTTCCGTTTCTTTCTATTTCTGCTGGTTTTTGTTATATTGTTTTCATGTGTTTTGTTTTGGTTTTTTTTTTTGCTTTTGTTTCTGCCCTTATTTTCTAACTTATTCAAATATACATCGATTCATGCACATTGTATATCTTTCTTTCTTATGAAGATAAACATATGTTTCTAATGAGAGTATTGCATACTTGAAAATAATTAAAAAAAACTGAAAGTTTATCAAAATTTATTTAGTCAACTATATATTTTTATGTCAGAGTCATTCAATACTATATAAACATTTGTAGAATGATTTTTGTTTTCGTTGCTTAACAATTTTTTATTTTTTGAATTATATTCAATTCTTCTTACTGATGATAATCGGTATTTAGACAATATTGATTGATAAATATTTGTTGGTTATATATTACGGTACTTGTAGGGAACTAATGATATATCAACAGTAAATTGCTCATCAGAGAATACCTATTGAAATACAATAAGATATTTGATATTTTCTTGAAAATTGTATAACCTTCAATAGTAACAAATGTATTTTTTTATAATTATCGTACTTTATAATAAATGTCTTCTCTAGCTAAACATTCAACATTTTAAATATAGATATAAACATCATATGCAATTGATAAAATATTTCGAAGACAACTTGCTTGACATCATGAAAGACGATATTTTCCATAATATTTGGCAGATTTTTGTGACATAATCGTCAAAAACAAATAAAGATATCGTCAAAGTATAGTATATATATGCAGCAATAGACGAAGGACAGGAATTTCTTAAGACATTCATAGCTTATTTGGGTCTACTCAATGTACATAGTCTTGATTCAATAGCAATTTATTAGTCGTGAAAACTTATCATTAATCATTTACATGATTGCTTTTTTGACTTGTTGTTTTGAATTTCTTATTTATTTTTCATGTTTTGTCCTATTGACTTATTTTTGAATATTTACAAAAAAAGAAATAAAAGCAAAGTATGTTTTTAAGCACTGTCATCATCGTCATCGTAAGAAGCAACTAGTGAAGAAAGACCAATGGAAGGTTTTGAAGCAGAATCATTGTTTGTTGTTGATTTCTTCTTGATTATCATACCTAATGCATTTTTTGTTGGTTGTTGTTTTTTAGCATTAATTGTTTGAGCAAATGAAATCATTGTCTAAAAAAAAAAGTATAAAGATTTTTGTTGAAAGATGATTGTCAATATGACTTACTTTTGGTTTTATAGTATTGATTGCTAATGGGACTATTTCTTCATGTTTTTCGATAATTTCTTCACTTTCAATATCATCATGATCAATTTCAACCATTGGTTTACCAAATGCTTTTCTAGAACAAAAAATTATATTGCATTTTAATTCTATAAAGTAATGACGACAATACCGAATTTCAGCTTCATCTTCTTCTTCTTCAACTTGTTTTTTAAATATTTCATATTGTTTTTCTTGTTCGCGTTTTTGTGCTAACATTTGTTCAATTTTAATATCGGCATGACGTGCATTTAATTCTTTTATATCTTCAAGTGCTTCAATAGCAGCCATTTCTTGTCTAGAATCACGTGTTCGATTTTCTAATAACTAAAATAATAATTTTATTTAAATTCAAAAATAAAAATTTTATGTTTTGTTTTTCTTACTTTCATAGGATTTAGAGCTTCTTCTTCAGCTTCTTTTGCCGCTTCTTCTTTTGCTTGTTTTTCAGCAAGACGAATTGATTCAAAATTTCGTATTGCGCCATGTTCTAATTCATAATCACCATTAGCCGGATCAGTCTACTCAAAAACAAATATATCATATGGGAATAGGTTTTGTTTTAAATCTTACTTTAAATGTTATTTCACGTAAACATTTCGTGCATTTAATATAAAAACGATAGGTTTGAATACCCAAATAAGTTTCACCCATAACATCTTCTTTTCGAGCATTGAATTTTTTACCTTTATAAATATATTCACCACACGTTTTACATCTGTCAAAAAAGAAAAACAAAAAAAATAAATTAACACAATTATTATTTTTTTTTGTGCATACCGCATATTACATGGTGCCATTAAACGAATGGTAAATTGACGATTTTTTGAACGTTTAGCACGAGGTAATTTCGATGGATCAAAGTCTGGTGGATAATATTTCTAAATAAAGAGAAGTTGAGATTAATTTATCAATTAATAAAAATTCTATACATACGTTTAAAACTTTTCGTTCAGACATGATTTAAGAAAAAACGATCAACTTTTGAATGATTATGAAAAACAAGAAATTCTTGCAAGTATATAAAAATTTCGTAAATACAAGAAAACAATAATGTATAGTTGAAAGAAATATCTAATTGGTTGGTATTTCACCAATCAGAATTCAACTATTGCAAAAGTCATCTATATAGAAAAGAGATAGATGGCTATGACACTAGTTGGTCCAATAAATAAATAGAATACATCATAGGTTGGGAGTGCAACGTAGTGATGGAACCGAAGCAGTAGCGCCCCTCTTCTTTTGAGAGGACAGATGGTGCCCTCGCTACATGCGCCATGCAATCAAAAATACAGTGTCAATAGAATGATTTGTATTTTACACAACACAGCATATGTAGTGAGGGCGCTGCCTGCTATCATTAGCTTCAATTTAAAACAATCAAATCTAAAAGTTTATATGGTCCTCCTTATGCGTATCACTGAATGGTATGCACAAAGTGGTTCTGTGTTTACAAAGTGAAAAAGGCATTTAAGAAGTCGACTATCTGTAATCGGATATGAGCGTCTATGACAAGAATAATATAGGCTTATCTTATTTTCAAAATAGTTTTCGAACTTTCTTCAACTGATTCGTTTAATTAAAGTCTTATTATAGATATCAAATACGATGACAAATCTGTTGTCTACAAAATTTGTAATAATGAATAATTCAATGAAGAAAATATCGCTTGTCTCAAAATACGACTTGCCATCTAATAAAAAGAATGTGAATTAAAAAAAGACTTGTATGTAGTTTTTCTCAGTTAAGTAACAAATGGAAGTAGAAGTAAGATAAAAGAAAGCATTTCAGACTTGGCTATAGTATGTTTACACTCCGTAAAATAAATGACTTCAAGAATTGAAAGTCTGCAGACATTCTAAAATAATTTAACATTGCTGAGAAACCCCTAACTTAACCGAACCTTACACTGCTTGTATGATTGTTCATACACTTTCAGAAATCCGTTACTGTGTGATCTGGAACGCGAGCCGTTCATTTCGAACGCTAGGTTCGGTGCGTGTCTATATGATACAGTTTTTCCAATACTGTCTACTAGTAGATTAGTTTTTGAAGATCAAAGATTTCTTGATAATGTATAAAATTTGATACTCATGGGAAGATTTGTTTCTCTTCATAGATTTCCTTTGTCGTTGATTCTGCTTGTTTAAACTAATAATTATTTTTTAAGACAGTTTGTTAAATTCAATATCAATCTAATCAATCAACTGTTGTTTATTATCAACAGAGATCTAATTTTTTAATTTTAATTGTTTATTATAAACCAAATGAAGTAGTGTCTCTAATCAATTGTATACTTTCAAGTAATTCATATGCAAGATTCTCATATTTTTCATTTCTTTTCATGAATTTATTAATAATGTTTTGCTTAGTAATGAATATTTATCAACTCTTGCGAAATATGATGATTTATGTGAATAAGAAAATTCATTTGTTAAAAAATATCAACAAATTATTCGTAATATTGTTTGTTTTTGATGATATTAGATTTGAGTAAATTTTTACAAAATATCTATATAATTTCGACGTAGTCTCAACAAACTAGTTAAGCGAACGTATCGTGATATTATTGTAGAACAACTGTAAAATGTAAAGAAAACGGCACATTACTATTTTTAAAAAATTGTTTTTTTGTTTATTTATTGCAAAGAACTTCTTTCTTGTAAAACATGAGTCAATATTACTCAATTGTGGTTATATTAGAACCATAATAGTGAACTTTTCACTGTACATATTGTAGTTCTATAAAGTATAACATACTTTGTAAGTATCACTTTTGAATAAATGAACACAGTGTTATTGAAATTTCTTTGTATGATGTCATTAGAGCTCATCGAATTCGTCACGAACTGGATCCAAATTGAAGTGTGGATGTGGGTGTCGGTGGACGTGTGGATGTGCATAGACATACCACACACACTCACGCGTACACCCACACAAAAAGCATGACCCATTGACTCGAGCAAAAAATTTCCTTGGACTGAACCAGGCGCTGAGAGTTTCTTGATGTGTTTGATTCTCAGTGACTCTACTCGAGTTATTCACAAGTAGCTACTATAGATTCGCTGTTAATCTCGTGAAAAAAAACAGTTTTACTGTTCGTGTTTAAAGATGAGTGTTCATGTTGAGTCGAGAATAATTCATGAGCACAATTTATTTGTCACTCAGTTTGATTTTGAGTGGACATTTGTCTCGCATGATAGTCGAGACTTTGAAAACGGCATTAGGTAAGATGAATACTTCTTCCTCATGTTTGAATTCAGATATCGAAGAAATATTCAATGCACTGCTATTACGCGTGACCCAAGATTTTGTTATCAAAGGTATGTTGTTCG